GAGATACGTGGGGGCCGCACCAGGCACACAGTGATGGGTGCGCAGAAGAATCTTGTACTCTTTACGTTCTCTGAATGCATCTTTGATGTTAGAGTAAGCTAAATCTAAAATGTTTTGATTTGTTATGTTCAGAGTCCACGTGTTGGTAGAAATGAGGGAGAACAGTCTTGAAGTAATCTGGTTAAAATCCTCAGCAATGATGAAAACACCCTCTGTGTGCAGATTGGAGCTCAGAGGTAGCCTGGTATAGAGTCTTCATGGACTCTTTTGTTTTAGCGTTGGAGGGCACATATAGACAGATAGACCGGTCTGCAGTAAACAGTCAGAAACTCCATGTCTGGAGAACAGAAGCTGCCGGCTGATCTAGATCTTATCATTGGGTCCTCTTCCCTTCATAAAAAGACATTTCATCCCAGCGATGGTAGCATCATCAGTGACCCCTCACACCCCCACCATGGACTGGTCTCCCTGCTGCCCTCTGGGAAGAGGCTTCACAGCATTAGAAGGAAGTCCAGATTCTGCAACATCAGACAGCTGAATAACAGACACTGATAACACCAAACAAAAACACTGAATATTTCCACCATATATTTTTAATGTTGTGAACTTCTATATCAATGCCTTTTTTTGCACCATGTTTTTTATTCCCTCACTGTTTACATGTGATCACTGCTTTACTTTTGGGAATGGAGATGTTATGAAAGCTGTGCAAAAAGAGATTTTGTTTTATTTACACTGTATATACAAAATGACAATGAAAGTTTTCTAACTCCTAAACTCTATAAATATGTCAAAAATAAATCTCATTAACACTTAGTCTCTTTTTAAAACAAATGTTTAAGGATTCTTGTCACATTCTTTTCAATATTATATATCAAGATTTCATTAAAGACCTATGATTAATAAGAGAGAAGAAGAGATTGTTTATTGATCATTCGTCGTTTGTGTGTGATTTAACTAAGCTGGCTTACTGGTCAGCATGTCAGCTTTTCCTGAGCAGATGTGTGAAACAAGACGAGGAAAATCTGAGGTCAAGCTAAAAGAAAAAGCATGTACAAAAACAACAAGCACAGTGTAAAATATAAACGCTGGAGCTGATGAAGGTTCTCAGTCATCCAGGTCATAGTCATTCCGTAAAAGTTAAAAAAATATCCACTTGACTTGGTTTCCAAGATTTGAAGACGTTTCGCCACCTCTCCAGGAAGCTTTCTCAATTCAATTAATAAACGCTGGTGTTTACTCAGAAACTGATTAGGTTATAAATTCGTGAGAAACGACGGCCAGCAGGTGGCGACGGTGTGCAACAATGTCTGTTGGTTGTGTCGGGTGCAAAAGTCCTTTGCAAGCATAGAAAAGGACACGGTAAACACTATCAGGGTGATCGTTTGGTGTATTTCTATTAACAGCAAAACGCCTCCTGAGCTTTTGCTCCAGCTTCACTGAACTCCAATGATCAGACTGTTTCCCAGCGCAGCTCCAGTTTGAAGGAATCAAACATTTTCAGGATTTTTACTCTTGATCTTGGAATTTCATGATTTTTTTTTTTTTTAAACTACGCTAGATATTCCACTCTCCCTCGCCTCCATTGCTTTGACCTCTTCATTAATTGTAAGCATGAGCAGCGACTTAATCCTGGTCACATGATGTGATGGTAAATATACTCAGAGAAACAAAAAAAACACAGCAAATACTACGCCAGCAGGACGCAGCATTTGTCATAAGACGGTTGTTTGCAACCAGAGTGAGTTCCTGACTTATAAATAACCTTTGAAATTGTATTTTTCATTTGTAAGGTCAGGGGATCCTCACACACTCTGGCCTTAAAATCCAAAATGGCTGCCATGTGCTTCAAATGCTATGATAGGTGCAGTAACAGAAAGGTCAAATTGGAATCCTGTGGGTTTGTTTGTCCCAATCCCGGGGTGCTATCTCCAGCTGTCTACGGGCGAGAATTTAGAATGTGGGAGGAAGCTGGAGTACCCGGAGAGAACCCATGCATGCACAGGGAGAACATGCAAACTCAATGCAGAAAGACCCCGGGCCGGGAATCTAACCCGGAACCTTCTTGCTGCAAGGCAGCAGTTCTACCCATTGCACCACTGAGGAGCCTGTTGGAGTAAACCAGTGGCATCAAATGAAATTATGTCATTTTTTTCTACTTGCAATCACATGATTAGTGCGGTAATTATTAAAACTGTCCAATTTTGGCTGCAGGCAAAAACTCAGATGTTTCTGCTCTCTTTTTTTATAACTCAACCTGGCTCTTTAGCGCCGTATAAAATGTTCATCTTTATTTGCTGTGTTGGTATTTTACTCCTCCTGCACGGGGGAAGTTAATTTCAACAATAAAAAATCCATCAATTTTCCCTCTTTTTTTAAAGAGGCAAATTTCTAATTGAATCTTCTCTGTAAACCAAAAAGAAAGATTTTATTTTATTTTTAATTTATTGAACAATAAATGAACAAAACTGCCTGTGAACATTATAAGAGAGCTTGTCTGCTAAAACCAATGAGCAGAAACTGCTGGTTTTCTGTCAACAATTTCAATGAGATGATGTAATTTCAAGATCTTAGTTCAGCTGTCTGAGATTAATAATCCACACCCCGTTTTCGGATTAACATCCAAGCTCAATAGAGCTTCCTCTCAAATGCAAAGCAACATTCCAGCTGCTTGCTGTGGAAAAACTCAAAGGTATTTTTGGTTTCCCAGTAAAGGGAGATCCAGTGTGCATCTGTCTTAATCAGGCAGTAACCAGGACTAAAAAAAAAAAAAAAAAACACCCAAACAGCACGAGAGCTACAGAGGCCAGCAGGAACGTCCTCTCTGGCAACATTAAGATGAAAAACCCAGATGAGGTAATCTAACTCTGTGAGAGTTTCACAGGGTTCCTCCCCTCTTTCGCAAAAACACATCACTCTATTTTACAAGTCTGTTGCACAGGTTGGGTCAGTTGTAACATTCAGACCGCCTTTTTGTGAAGCAAACTTAGCTGTTCTCACATTCTGGAGAAGTAGCCAAACTGACAGTTTGTTTCTTTTTCTGCACTGTGACCATTTTAGCAGAGATGATCTGTCATTTCAGATGACAAAATACATCTTGGAGAGTTATCTTTCATCTTTTTTTTTTAAATGATGACACAATCCCTTATCTTTATTGGTGCATCAGACTTAACAGCCGCAAGAGGATATGAATAGAATAGGCGTGAAATGTATTTCCTTAGAATATCATATGCTTGCACCAGTATTTCTGCATGCTGCACAAATACCTGTTGAGCAACTTAACAGAAAACACAGGAGTCATTCATACAATCTGTCAGTATTTCACTGACTGCTTTGCACAGAGCCAAAAACACTTGTTGCGCAGCTCGTGTGACATTTGAAAAACTGTTAGAAGGAAGTTTGTGAGAGCAGCAGCGTTCAGCCTCTGTACACAGTTTACTCCCACCATGCAGCTGTGCATAAACTGTTAGTGTTGTAGTAGGAGAGCAGAGGAATTAGTCAGAAAATAAAGCTTCCGCTGCAAAGATAAAAAAAGATCTGAGGGATCTTCTGTGTCACTAATCGTAATATTCAAAGTCACAATTTTGACTTTCTTGCTGCTGGTTTTTGTAGCCGACTGATTCAGGTGCAACTCAAAGAAAACCGATGAGCATCAGGGGTGAGACAACATCACGTCCTCCTGGAAACAGCAGGCGCACAATTTACAACTTTCATCGATTTTAAAAGAACTGAAATAAAAACCTATGGCAGCCTGTTTTAGAAGTGAACACCCACAGCCCTAAATAACCTAAAGGATATAAAGTTCCTGTTTTTCTGTCACTGAAAAAGTCAAAGGGGCAGGTGCTGTCATTTAGGAAATCCTCTTTTTTGTGAACTGTAAAAAAAAAAAGAAAAGAAAAAGAACTCCA